GCAGAACAGTAGCTACAAGCTAAGAGCAGCAGAACAGTAGCTACAAGCTAAGAGCAGCAGAATAGTAGCAAAAGTTAATAAAACAGATGAGACAAACTGAGCCAAACTGTTGCTAATACTAAACACAGCAATATGTTAACTAAAGTCTAAAATAAGCTTAAAAGTAGCATGTGAAGAAAGAAAACGTGCAGCTATGTTGAAGCAGGTTTAAAAACATTATGCTTTTGCATTTGAAGGGATTAAATGCTTGATGGGGAATTTTATTTAGTATAAAGTTAAATATTTTGAAAATTACAAAAGTTACAAAAACCAAAAGCACATTGTTCCTGATTAAGTTAAACATTTTAAAGAATTAATTATTTTAAAAAGGCTCAGAGAAAGATGCATTAAGTGAGTAAAAATAAAAATGTACTTAGTTAAATCAAAGGTTTTTAGGTGTAATACAGAATATGGTAACATCTCTGACTTCAACCCATTTTTACTTCGCAGACTGAGTTGTAGGTGGACGGAGGTAAGAAGAGATGATTTATTAGAACTGAGGATTTGTCTTTCTGCATGTCAGCACTGTTTCTCTTCTTCATGGAGCTTAATGGAAAGAAAAACTCTCCTGTGTCTCCGGTGTGTTTCCAGTTGAAGGGTTGCGCTCAGCTGCACAGTAACTTCTGAAAGGACCATCCAGAAAGATCCTAACTCTGTTAGACGGTCATTTATATCCGCTTCAGTTGCTATAAACTCAGTTTCTCCACTGTAAATAAATCTAAAATGTCACATGAACCAAATGAAAGATGCAGTCCCTACTGCACTCAAAGTTTTAAAAAGTTGTTGCTCATACAAATACTGCCCTAAAATTTCCATCTCATCTTAGAGGCCAAAAATGTCTGTCAGTCAAATATCAGTTTGTGTTTTTCCAGTTTTCCTAAATGCACTCCAGTTAAAGAAGGAACTGAACACATTATTTACATGCAGGAATTCTCTGAAAATCTTAATTTGTTGACTCCTGCACCAATCAGCTAAAGTATTCTGGTAATATTAGAAACAACACACATCTTTTTAAAAGACAAGGTTCTGCTGGGAAACCTGAACCCACACGCAGCAAAAGATCTCCATCCAGCTAGCAGGCTAACGCTGATCAGAGCTGTTTCAGCTGCAAACAGGAGTCCGACTAATATTAAGTTGGCGTCCCTGATGATAACGCAAGTTGGTGTACGCTGCTTTTTGTTGATTTAATTAATATTGGTGTAAAGAGAACCCAGATTAGGCTGCGTGAACTTCCTGTGCTCAGATTATCTGACACAGATGCCAGGTTCTAGGCTTTTCCCTGACAAGAACAATATATATATACAAAACCATTTACAGAAGTAAGAAATGAAGTGGCATAAAATGACCCAAAGCCAACTGGTTAACTATAAAAGTATGATTATGAATGAAAATGATATTAGGAAGAATGAATTCAAAAAGACACACACAAAAAAAAAACAATGATGCATGTCGAGATGCAGAACCTTTAAAAGTGAGCAACAGGACTAGAGTCATTTTGGCTGTTTTTAACATTTTATCTTTACTTAAAGCTGAGGTCCAGTCGGGTTTAAAATGTTGGACTGTGAAGAATGACACGGCTCATCTTCAAGCAAATTTAGTCGTCAAATCAACTAGAAGTTCATGGAAATAATAGTTTATTACGTCATGTAGCATGACAGTCTTATCCACTGTTATACCTCCTGGTAGATGTGTGTTTAAATCTGTAAATCAAATGTTAAGCTGTGAGATTATATGGTTTATGTGTGCAGCTGCAGCTCATCTCTCACCTCACTGCACGTCTGCAGTTCTTCTCTTAACACAAACACTCAAGATTGTTTTCCTCTCAGAGCAAACAAAGAAAATGCATGTCGGTCATTCACCTTCAGCTGCGTTCAGTCTGACTCACTATCTGTATGTGGAGCACGAAGCACAGGCATGAAAACAGCCACACTCATGGAACTGCTTTGCTGAAGTGTTGGTTTCCTACAACGCTTTAAATAACACATCACGGTGTGTGTGTGTGTGTGTGTGTGTGTGTGTGTGTGTGTGTGTGTGTGTGTGTGTGTGTGTGTGTATGTGTGTGTGTGTGTGTGTGTGTGTGTGTGTGTGTGTGTGTATGTGTGTGTGTGTGTGTGTGTGTGTGTGTGTGTGTGTGTGTATGTGTGTGTTTATATACTGTAGCTCAGTTACACACCGACCTGCAAGCACATTTTCACAAACAGCTCTTGATTCTGTTGTACAAACTATTTTAACACTGAAATTAGCTGTGTGCTAACCAGATGTGTAAAACATCTGGTAGCAAAGACCTAAATATTTAACTTGCAAGTTACATTTTTAGCTAGCAATTTAAATATTTCGGTCTGAGGTAAGTATTTAGTTAGCAAATTAAATATTTAGTTTGGAAATTAAACGTTTAGTTTGTAAAATATATAT